GGCGCCGGTACTTTCCCTGGGCGGTGTGTGCCGTTCGGCTGTCGCGGGGATGTCCCGGGGGGACGGGCCGTCCGCGGCGCCGGCAGCGCCCGGTTGTCCCTGGCTCTTCTGGCCGTGTCATGCTCACTACTCAGTCTGAAGTTACGGTACTTGGCAGGATATATCTCGCTTGTTCACCCAGTGGAAACAACGCTTCGTTATTTTAGACACAGGCTGTTCTGTTCCAGGAGCGCAGTTTGGAAAGTCCTGGGCAGGTCTGGTCGAAGGCAGTGAGCTTGCCCGCAGAAGAATGAGCATCCATGACACGTGTCATTTCAGTTTTGCAGTTTTGTCTGTGTTCAGATGCCAGCATAAATCCTAATTTCTGTATTTCAGTTTATTCTGTATGGCACAGTTGGTTACACACTGAGAGCTCATCAATGGACTTGGAAGCTAAAGATGAAGAGGAAGAGAGTCTGCAAACAGCTTTCAAAAAGCTGAGAGTGGACGCAGTAGGGTAAGTGAGCAACAAAAAGGACCACGTCACCTGTCAGTTTCTTACCCTGTATTTGTTTTCTGTTAACTTGGATCTCAGAACAAACCTCATTCAGGGAAAGGTTCTGTACTCTCCCAAGAGGAGACAACTGCATGGCGTCAGGCACGATGCGGTCGTTATAACTGTCTGAATAGACAAAGCAGTACTTTATAACTGACACAGTATCCAACCAAAATTACACAGTGACTGCGTGAAAACGTGGAATGACTCGCTCAAAGCAGCGAACCCGCACGTAACTGTTGTGGCAGCCGTAGTTACCTGGTGTGATACAGACCTTGTTTGTCCACTCGTGTAAATGCTGGTGTCTTCAGCCGCATTAGCAGCGTTTACTCTAGTGCCTGAAGGTTTGCTCGGAGAGTGCCTGAAGGGCAACATCAACACTTTGTAGTCTGCTGGAGGGCCCAGTGTGGCTGGAAATCCTCAGGCTAAATGTGAGCACTGCTTGCTTCTGATTTCAGGGGATTTAAACTCCTTAAAAGTAGGAATTAATAAAATTATGCAGTCTATCACTTAGTGAGGTAGTTGACGTGAATCTTTTGGGAATTCACACACATGAGAGCACTTTGTGTTGATAATTAATGTTACCTAATGAATTCACCTCCATAGCCATCAATGCTGTGAACTCATGGCTTCCTCTGCTTGTAAAAATCTATTTTGCTTTGCTGCTCATTTCCTCTACTTCAGGAGGACGTCTATTAAATGTGGAAAAAAATAGCTGTTCTCTAACAAGGAGCTATGCTTATTAAGCATGACACTTTTGATGTATTACGGGGGCAGACTGTGGAATTCTGGGTGATTCCTGATGAGTTCGTCTTAGGCATAAAAAGATCTTGTTTTGCAGGCGTGTGTTTTGAACAGCCCAAGTCTTGTAGCCCAAGGGAACTACTCCCTTAAGGTCAGCTTTGGGCAGAGTACTTCTTGGGCTCTTCTGCTAGAATTTCTTATGGTTTCCTATCCCGTGTTCCAGATCACACACACAGCCATCACAAATACTGATTCGTATGCTGAGGCATTTAAGTTTGTTCTCTGGACCTCTAGGGCCAGATTTTTTTTTTCCATGTTTATCTGTGAAATTTAATGAGAAATACAATAATAATCTATCCTTGTCTGTCACGCTTCTCTACTGACTCCACCCCAGCCTGCTGCTATGGGTTCCTGACTTTGCATTTTAGATGAGTAGGAGTCTATCTTTAACAGCTATTGTCTGACAAGAACATTTGGAACCTGAGTTTACATTCCTTTAATGTGTCCTTCGAGTACAAATAGGGCATGACATCAGCCTCTGGACATTTTGGCCTCCTTTCATTTCATCTCACCTATCTTTAGACACTTGACTGAGGTTAATATAGTAAGAGCAGTTAGATAAATCTCTGTGGTATCCTAACCACTGACTATAGAGGAAGCTAAGGCTGCAGGCTTAAATGTCTTAGCTAAGCATCTAAATTGAATAGGCTGAGTCTAGAGCTCTGAAGCAGTATGTTCAGGCTCTACAGTAACGTGGCATTTCCCTCTTTACTCAGATGTATTGCAGCTCTGTCTGTGGGCGACGGGACGATTCTCAGAACACCGATCAGAGCAGCCGTGGATGGAGCCAAGCAGCAGACTGTCTGCTCAAAGGAAGCCTGGCATGGGTAGGGCATACCGTTCACTGCACTGGGCATGTGCTTCGGGTTTGAGACATTGGACACTTGCATACTGTTTCCAGTGGAAGTTGTGAATTAGTTGTTTCAACATATCCATTTTCTCCTTTCTGTTGCAAAACTTCACCATAACTGTTTGATAGGATGGTTTTTTAAGGGGATTTCATCAAAGACAATACAATATTGCCTCTTTTCTTAGACAGGGTACCTAAAACTTTCTGTTCCACTGATTTCCTCAGGAATCCTTTTCTTCAAGTCTTTGCTACCCCTTCTCACCTCTTTCTTGGGTCGTTTTATTTCTGTATTGAAGTACCTGGATATTCAGGGCGGTTCTGCCAGCAGCTCCAACTGATGTCCAGGTTCAGCACTACAGTTCAGTTTGGGATGACAGAATATCATTTGCATAACAGAGATGATCTGGGGGGAAGCACCTGTAAAACAGGGCTGTTTGTATGTGTCTTTCCTTTGGGGAAGCCCCAGTTTCTTCAGACTCCACTGTTCTGTCAGAGATTGTGAGTGACAGGTCACCTGATTTTTCTAAGCAGAAAATGATCTAACAAGTTTTTAGCCACACTTTAGAGCTTATTGGGCTGCGGTGTAGATTCTGGAGTTACCTACTTGCTCACCTGTTGTAACCCTGCAGGTGTGTGAGAAAGCCTTCCAGAGGATCGGCACGAGTCCCACGTCGCAGACGCTCCAAGTCTCCCGTCCTGCATCCTCCCAAGTTTACGTATTGCAATGTGAAAGCCAGCAACCAGCTGAAACACAAAACCCAGGCGGACACGTCCAAGGGCAGCGTCAGCTCAGACGTTTTTGTTACAGCAGAACACGGTACGAAGGACGGGCACGATTCTCACCTTGAGTCCAGCAATGACAGAACTGAACCCTTGGAAGCTTTCACCGCTGAAGAGCCTTTGGAGAAGTCGAGGGAGAATTACCCTGCTCTCTCGTCCTTTGAAACTAGCTTGCATTCTAGCCAAACCTCGGATTTCCAGTCCCTATCCATGCTTAGCAATGGCAAGCAGTGCCCTTGTACGGACAAGAAATGCCAGTGCAAACAGTGGCGAGCCATGGAAGTGTACTCTTTCTCTGGCTTACGGAGCGTCCTGTCGGAATGCGAAAAGGCAGTCCTAGAGGTCCATGCCCAGTCTCTTCAGAATAGATCCCCTTGTGGGACAGCCTCATCGGGTTCTCCTAGATCTTGCTCTGAGCAAGCTCGAGCCTTTGTGGATGATGTGACTATTGAAGATCTTTCTGGATACATGGAATACTACTTATATATTCCCAAGAAGATGTCTCACATGGCAGAAATGATGTACACCTGACTGAACAATAGAGAATCCTGAACTGGAGTTTGTGATAATGGTTGGGTTAAATGCCTTGTTAGTGCCATGTTTTCACCGTTGTGTGTTTGAGCAAATGTTTCTTTGCCTGATACAGTTTAGTTTTCTAATAAAATGAAAAGCAGGATATAGTTTTTGAGCTTAGTTTTAAAAAGAATGCACTAAAGTCTTGAATACCTTAACTAAAGCACTGTAGATCAAATAAACTCCCTTCATTTTTCGGTTTGTGCTGTGGATATTCAGGCTCTGTGTGCTGTTTTCACTCTCTTTGGGGCCGGAGGCTGGGGAGGGAGGCCTTTTAGGTTTTGTTCTGAAATTTTGCAGTGTTTGGAAGATTCATTCTTCATGTGTCCCAGTACTTAGAGAAATGTTTCATAGCTACACCTCTGTCCTCCTCATCCTGCTCTGGAGAGAAGAGCGAGAAGCATTCAGTATTTTGGACAGGACGGAGCTCCTTTCCCTGAACACTGGCTCCTTTTTAGTTGGATCAAATTGTGAATGCTTCCTCCTCACAAATTTGGGAGGTGTGGAATGTGCAGGGTGGGGGTGTGTTTGGACCCTTTCACAATCTAACTAGCTCACTCTTAAGCAGTTCTGGTTTTCTGCAGATAAGTGAAGCTCTTAGAAGCAAAACCACATTTTGTTATTTGTGCTTTACAGATGGAATGATTTAGGGGGGAGTGAGGCAGGCTAACGCCTCTTTGGGCCGTGCTGTCTCGGAAGTGGAGATTGTGGAGCCATCTGTATGGATTGTTTGCGCGTGTTTGATACACACAGCAGCGTGGAAATAGGGTAAACAAGTGTGTATCCTACAGGCTTCGCGGTGTAGAGCTACAGCGTTCCTTCTGGTTGAAAACACCGAAATGAACTTCGTTGCTGAGAACTGCATTAATAAATACTTGTCAAACCCAGCAAAGTACAGCCTGAATAACTTGACTTGTGCTCAGCTCCCATCACAACCTGGGGTTTTTTTTTAAAGACCCAAAAGTCTGTGTTCAGTGTCAGCGCGTGCTGCACAACTGAGTGAAATGCTGTCATTTTTACTTCGGCTTTAAGAAGGAGTGGCCGGCAAGCCACGGAGTCACAAGCAGCTGTACAAAACCAGACTGTAGTGGATGCAGACAGCTGGCCTTGTATTCTGCGCTAGAGAACTCTCAGACGCTGGAGATGACCATCGCTGTCAGTAGATTTTATTCTTAATCGTCCCTAAAATTGCCACTAGGATGCAGGAAGTTCAGGTTTAAAGTTGAAGTAACATAAAAACACAACTAAAACTTACTTTGCTCCCAAGTGTTGTGCAGTGATTCAGCATGCAATATCGGCTCCTACTCTCAAATTTAACTGATTTCTGTGTTTTCTGTCCTTTTCCACGTCCCCTATGCCTACCGCTGTATTAGAGATATTTGAATACTTTGAGTTGCAGGTGTATAAAAGGAAGTTTTATAAAAGTCAGTCCTTACTGTTGACAGGGGTAGGGGTCTTTTTTGGTGTTCTGATACTGGATTTTGAATAATGACAACAGCTATGTCATTGTTTTACCTGTAACTCCGTGATTATGTTTACCTTCTTACCTGTCAAGTGCCCTGTTTAAATACTCAGAACTGCATACGGGAATGTGTTTTCTCTCTCGGGTTAGTACTTCACTACCCCCTTCCCCTCACCTTCCAGCACTGCCCCTCACACCCACACCGAGTTTTGGTTGTGCCTGGTCTGTTTTTCCCCTTCTTTCTCCCTTCGGTCAATATGTGGTGGATGTATTTTGCTTCTAAACATAAATACTCACTCGTTACCTTTGCCGCTGCTGTTTTTCAGGAGCTCCTTCTGCTTCAGCCGAGGGCATCTGCTCAGGTTGCTGGTCACGTTATGGTTTGGTGCCCTCTAAAATCGCTCGAAGGCGTTGTTGGTAGACGCAGTATTTCTCCCTTTAGACTCGAATCACCCTGCCCCGTGGCGAGCGTTGCCCTGGAGCCCGCGTGCGTGAAGTTGGGGCGTTAAATCCTTCACGTGCACAAACACAGCTCTTTAATATGTGCCTCTGGGGACCAAAAAACCCACACAGGTGGCACAGGGAGGCTCCTTTCCCCAGAAGTGCGGTGTGGCTGGCTGGCTCAAGGTCACCTCGGCGCAGTTGTTCCCGCTGCGGAGCAGCACGCCGCTGCCGCTCTTTAATGTGTGCACAAACCCCTGGAAGCGTCTAGACCTTCAAGCTGGTGTTACGTAAAGCTAGCAGGGACTGGCGATGCTGGAAGGGCACGAGGGCATTGCCAGCCGGGGAGCAGAACAGCGTGCAGCAAGGCTGCTCTGGGCGAGGAGAGCGAGGGAATTGGGGAAACTAGTGCGAGGTACGCCCTGAAGTTTAGGGCTGAGAAGTGAATTCAGACTGCCAGAAGGCCAGAGGGGAGGGAAGAGTCTGAAAGTCCTCTCTCTGGGAACGTTTCCATAGGTCAGGACTGGTGGTGTGGAGGCAAGGAAAGGGGAAAGAGACAACTTAGCGGTTTGGTGTTCTGCCCAAATTATTGTTTGTGCTAGCGTTTGAGCATGTCCAGTGCTGCCTGCGGCAGAGGAAGGACAGGTCGTTTGGGTTCTTCAGCAAACGTATGCAAACGTCACTGCTGACATTCACATCGCTCAAACCATCTCATTTCAGTGACGTGACAAGCTGAGAGAATCCGATCCCAAACCTAGTGTTGCCTTCCAAGCTTTCCCAGTTTGGCTCACCCACTTCACTCTGATCACTCAGCAACTCCTGCGTGCTGCCTGCCCAAAACCTCAGGTGTTCCTAGCAACCGGCCTCAGGGAATGCCTGCGCAGCACAATTAGCCTGATTGATTGATGGGCATCAGCACTTGGCCTGACGTGGGGCCAAGTGCTGATGCCCAGATGTGGCCCGGTACGAGCGGTTCTGAGGGCGGCCCTGCCAGCCTTCCTGCTCCCAGCCTGTGCTGGACCTGCCCACACAAGCCCGGGCAGCTTTTTCTGCCCATGGGTGCTTTAGGGTGTTTCCTCAGTCAATCTACAGAAGAATATGTTTAACATTTTCTGAGAAAGCAGTGGTGGGCTTGCAGCACTCCCAGGACTTTCCTTGGAGTGGATCCCACCTCTCTACTTCCTATCTCAGCAGACCCAGGCTGGTTTATTTTCTTCAGCAGCTTCCCCCACCCCCAGCACGTTAGGAGTTACTTGCCTGCCTAGTTTCAGCACTAGTTCGACCAAAGTGGGATGCAGAAGGGCACCCTGGATCAATGAAATTTATTTCTCGCCTTACAGAAGCCGAGCCGAGTCCTAGCTAAGCTTTACATTGGCAGACGCTGAATCAGGCCACCCGGAAAAAAAATCAATGGAGCTGATTCTGCAGCCCGATTTCCAGCCCCTCCTGCTAAAGCAGGGAACGTGCTTCTGTGCCTGCAAAGTCCTGTGACCGGCTCCATCCACCTGCTCTCTTCCGCTCTGTAACGTTTGCATCTGCTCTGAGATGAGACACCCGGATTGTGTATTCCCAAACCACAAGCACCCGCCATCCTGCCCCCATGGCACCTTCTGCCAGGGCTCTCCCGATGCCCCGTGGGATCCCACGGGGCAGCCCAGCATCATCCCCTTTCACAGGCAGGAAGTCTGTGGACGAGAGCTGGGGATGATCTCAAGGTCACACAAGGTCAGGGCACCCCTACAGGGGGCTGGCACCCATCCTGCCCCTCAAGCCTTGCCCAGTTTAGCAGACCAAAACTGAGCTATGTAAATAAGCACCTCCAGAGGTGCCGCGTACCTGCAGGACCCAGAGGGATGAAGAGACTTCCCATTTTTTATTCCCAACGACGCAACATTAATTCATCATAAAATATGCCGCTAGATGGGGCTTTCCGGACAGAGAATCGCAGGGGGGAACCGCTCCTGCTTGGGCAAGCTGCTCCTTTCCTTCTCCAACCCCAAAGGTCTCCCACTGAAAGGAGCCCCAAAAGATGCCTCTTGGGCAGCGAGCGCTGTCCTGCATGGAGCAGGCGGGAGGGGAGGCAGCTGAGCGGAGGGCAGGATGGTACTGCACGATGGGGCTCCCTCTTTAAAGCTCAGCGTTCTCCGAGCTTGCGCTGCCCTGACTTGGCAGCCCCAAAGCAGAGGCCAAAAAAAGACCCTTTCCCTGTGAGCATCCCCCCAGGGGTCTCTGGCAGCACTTGGGAAGGCCTGGGCTGAGGAGGGAGGATGGTTCTGGGGGCTGCTGCCCACGAGGGAGGAAGCCTCACCCCTCCATCATCACCCTCCCACACACCCCCGGGAGCAGGGCGTCACGACACCAGTGGGTTCATTTTCACCTCCCAGCCCCCAGCAAATTGCTCCTTTCACTCTGCTCATGGGGCTGAGTACCAGTGTGGCCTTGCTGCCTCCCAGTGCTCTTTGGTGAAGCATGCCTCAGTTTCCCCACTTAAACCAGTTCTCCCAAACCGTGCCCTGTTTCCCTGCACACCTGGGGCAACCTCACCAGCTCCAGCATGGGCGGAAATGGGAGCAACTCAAGGAAGACCACCCAGAGCCCTCTCGCAGCCCTGAGATGCAGGCTGGCTCCCTGTGCCTGCAGAGCCCTCTCCTCCATCCCCTCCAGAACCTGCCCCTGTGATGACCCCCATAACTGGGCTGGTTTTACCCCCCAGGCACTGGCAGCTAGTCCCACATGTGGGATATTATCTCCAGGCTGCCGGATTGCGGGAGATGGAGCGTGACAACGTGACAAAGCCAGGTGCCACGAAGCACAGGACCAGATACCCAGGTCGCTGTGTCCAGAAAGGTGCCAGCTGCCCGCACGCGTTCGCCTGCAAACCTCTGGGCGATGCTCGTAGTGCCCGGAGAGCGGCAGCTCCAGAAGCCCCCGCGCTCCTCACGCAGAGGAAACCCAGCCGGTTCGCAATTGCGACACACCTTGCTAATTCTGGAAATGACCCCCAACCGTGCCTGCTTTGCTGCAGGATGAGCACCCTGGGGCTCCGGTACACAGC